CAATCACCAAGCCATAAGAATAGAAGTTAAAAACTTTGTACTTGAAGAATAGATTTATGCATTTGTTTTCCATCTGCAGCCTCTCTTTTTTCTCTTCCTTGAATTATTTTAGCCCGTCAACTGAAACCTCAAATTAAACCATTTTCAAATTTTAGAGAACAGAGGAAATCACCCTGAGTTTGTTAAAAATGCAGATTTCTTACCCCCTCCCCATTGTGATTCAGCATATCTGGGGTGTGGCCCAATAATCCGCATGTTAAAATAAACATACCCAGGTGATCCCACCTATGTGATCAGAGGAGCATAGTTTGAGACTCATTGTCCTGAACACTGACTGGCAAGGTTAGGATGAAATGTAATACAATCTCATACTTTTTTTTCCCAAGCCTTCTAAAATGACATTTATTTTATATGGAGCTGTAAATAGAGTTACATTGTGCATAGAATACAATGTAGAAATTAGATCTATGGTACCTATTTAGTATAATCACGCTGAGAATGTTATTGTTAATAAGCAGTGTAACATTCTTAACTGTGTTTATGTTTCATTTAATTTGAGGTATGTTCTTTTTTCAGAGAGGAACATATTTGAAAAAGTCCTTATCACTTTCTTTTCTTAAAAATACCTTTTTTTTTTAATCATAAGGAAAAGTAGCTTAAAAGTAGCTTAAAAGGCAGCCTTTTCTCCCAGCTCCTGCATATTAAAGAATTCCTTAGCCTATCTCTGACAGTGGCTCCTCCCTACCAGGATTCTCAGCTGACGTAGGGAGATGAGGTACTATTAACCTGTGGGCAGGACAGGGGGAAACATATCCTTTACAAACTAATTTTATGTCGTCAAATATTCTTATCTTTAATACTTCTGAAGGATGCCCCGCCCCAATTTCTGGGCTGATGTGGCTTTCCTGAATACTTAACAGTAGAGGAAGGGTTGCTAGGAGGAAACAATGATTGTAATATTTAAATATACAAGGGGCTTGAAAAAGAAAGCCTGCTTGTATCTCATGATTGCAAATAATGCTGAGTTGTTTTCTGCTTTCCTTTTCTTCCCTTAGGAACGTGTTTTCCTCCAAGTTCCTCAGGGGCATGCACTATATCTTCCTTTACTTTTCATTGTTGTTGTTTCAAGGAGTGGAAGTGTTTAAGATGTTCTTTTTTTCTTTCACCCCAACCCTGTTTCCTTGTAGGTAACCATTCCTTGCAGGAAAAGAGAAATTCTTTCCCTCCATGGCAAGTTTGTTTTCAGAGGATAGGAGCCATTATAGAAAGCTTGTCCTTTTGGTTCAGAGAATAAAATTGGTTCATACTCAGTACATTGTTGATTTAACTTTCTTTTTATTAATTAAAATCAGTAAGAGTATGTGTAAGGGCTTGGGATTTTATTTTACCCTGTTTAGAAGCTAATTAGCCTGCTACAGTTCATGGATGTGGCAGAACACATGAGACTCCTGGATCAGAGACAAAGGACTTTATTACTCATGGCCCAGCAGGCAGCACAGGTGTGTTTGTATTAGTTCTCCTTGGCACGCCCCTCCTCCCCCACTCCCACAGGAGTGACTTGAATGGGCCCAGATAGATGCCTGCACACATGTTATAGGAATGTTATAGGAATGGAACGTTGAGCTTGGGGAATCCATTGCTTTTGGTAAGTGGTAAGCAAGCTTACTTTTTGTCCTGGAGGGGTCATTACTGCATTCCTCAAAGCTGATCTTGGCAATACAGTCCTGTGACATTGCCTGGGTAAGGAGTCGGCAGGGTCCTGAATTTTTTGTCATATCCAGTGAGGCCATGTAGCAGTGTGAGAGACCCATGGCAGAGTAGTTCTCCCAATAATAAGTACATACAATAGGTAATTGACATAAACCTTAGATTTATTACAAAATATTTACCATTTGAAAAAGTAAAAAGAGTGATATAGTGAACAGCCATACA